CTTTCAATTGTGTAATTTAAGTGATCTAGTAGCTCTGCTTTGGAAGTTCAGTTCATGCTAGAAATGTGTTTTGGAGTTTGTACGTGTTTTGTCTCTAGGGGGCACCGCATATATTTATATATAAATAAAACCACTTTTTTTACGTTAGTAATTCCTTTTGTGCATAATTTAAGATTATTGTTAATAATAAATTAATTAGAGCTACAAAACAACCTGAAGAGCCGGTTCGGAGCCGAAAGAGCCAGATCTCTAAAAAGAGCCGGAAATCCCATCACTAGTTTGATCATCAGTCCGCAAAGGCAATGTGTTTTTTGGTACTCTGGAAAATGTACACATGTGCTCTGCATACAGCAACAGAGCACTGATCTTTCCTGCCATTTCACATTTGTTGTGCTTAGAGTGCAATATAAGATTTTCCATTTATAATAGGTTCAAGGTTCTTTATTTGTCACACGCATAGTTATACAAGTATAACACACAGTGAAATATAACCTGACACGCTCCTCGACATGTGCAAAAATGGGGGGGGTTAGAGGAAGAACATTATATATATATATATAGTATAATGTGAATGTGCAGTAGTACCAGCAAGCAGGTGAATTCTGTACATTAATAAGAATAGACAATCTGACTATTTTACAGAATAGACAATGTAAACATATTTAAAATTAAAGGAATTTGAAATGTACATTGTGCCTGGGTTAAAGTGTCTCAGTCAATTATAGATGATGTGAGAGGGTGGGTGTGTGTGTTCAGGGCCCAGATAGCTTGGGGATAGAAGCTCCTCTTGAGTCTCTCTGTCCTTGCCCGGATGATGCTGAACCTTCTACCAGATTGCAGAAGTTGGAACAGTTTGTTGCCAGGATGGTCCTTCAGTATCTGCGCTGCTCTAGTCCAGCATCTCCTGGTGTAGGTGTCCTGAAGCGGGGGGAGAGCAATCCTGCAGCAGCGTTCTGCTGTACGCTTTTTGGTCCTTCACACAGCTGTTCCCAAACCACGATGTTCTGTGTGAGGATGCTCTCCACAGCGCCTGTATAGAAAATCCTGAGGGTCTTTTAATATGTTCCATACTTAACCTTTTTGGAGACTTTTATGTTGTTTGGCAGGATAATGGCATCACATTGAATTTTAGGTGTTAAAAATACACAGTGACTGATTTTCATGTCAACAAGTAAATAAATATTCTGATGAAGAGCCACTAAAGGAAGTTTTTGGAATAACTCTCAGCAGTAATGTGGACGTGAAATAGTTGGTAGACATGTTATTAACCCTATGAGAAAAATCTTTAGTTCTATTGACTATGTGCACGTTAGCATATGCTACTTCCGGTGCGGAAACTCCTGTGGGGAGCTTTGTTTCCGGTGTCCTATTCGCGCCCTGTTTACGGTCCAAAACAAGTTAAGCAAATGAATGAATCAAGCGGCGATTTACATTTCTATAGATGTCTCGGGCATTTACCCAATATATCTGTAAATGATGTTCATCGACTTGTCGATATTTTTCCCCCACGCCTCAGGGGAAAAGAGAAAATGGATTCAAATGTTATATTTCTCAGCTGTCCCTCGTTTATCGCGGGTGTTATGTTCTAAAAATAACCAGCGATGGGTGAAATCAAGTAGCCAATTTTATTTTTTGACGGTGCAAAACGTTTCGTGTACATCGTGGACATACAGCACTGCACTTCAGAGTCACACTGCTAGCGATAGATGCAGCGATTCTGTACTGTACAGGAGAGACGGAGGAGATCGTCTGCAGCGATCAGGACGCAGGACGTAAAAAAGCATGCAAACTTGCACTAAAAAATCTGCGAAACAGCGAGGTGAAAGGTGAACCGCGTTATAGCGAGGGACCGCTGTAATTTTGAAGGTAAGTCACAACATACCCTTCGTAAATACTAATGTATAGAAACCGTTACCAGCAAGCATTAATTTTTTGTGTGGCTTTTTTTCACGGTTTGTTAACATGCTGTGTGTGTGTGTACTTGACTAGCTGATATCGACATAACGGGGAAAACATCTGGTTTGACTATTGTTCACCTGTAGTTTGAATGCTGAACATCTGCCTGTTTAAATCATAAGACCAGTCACTATACAGAGATGTGCTTCTGAATGTGGACGATGTGTCTTCTGCTGCAGTAATGCAGTTCTGCTTGTGTTGAGTGATGTAAACAACTGATCATCTAAACTCTTTAAACGTCAAAATTGATCATTAGATTTTTATGACACAACAGTGGTGAGTGTTCCCACCTTCTCCTCTTTGTAACTTAACGCGATCGTTCCGTTTTCGAGTTTTGGACATCAATTTTGGAGTATATCTTCGCAGTAGCGATTGACCGCAAAGTAAAGCTACCGGAAATGTACAACCCCACATCCGGTCTCAAACCAGGAAGTTAGCATTTTCTCGTGCACAGGGTCCATTCAGGTACAGAGAGTATTTAGGCTACAGGAAACAGTTTTATTCAAATACTGTCAAAATATTGTCAAAATGCTATAGTAGTGATCCGTGACTGCCCTTTTAAAGTGACCCATTAGAAAGTGACTGCAAATATTGTGGAACAGATTCATAGTGTTTAATTGCTCGTGTGCCGGATGTGTTAAACACGAAAAACAGGAGCTGCAGAAACCCAGTAATGCTGAAGACGCATGCAAGGAATCTATCTGTGCGTTTGCATCTGTGTGTCAGAGTGTGTGTGTTTTTACCTTTAATTTGGGACACACACACACACACACACACACACACAGAGTGCCTACAGCATCACACAGTAAGCTTCATACAGTTAAGCACAATCACTACATGACAGAAACACAAGCTTAATCGCTCCATCAATAAAAATGTATCCATGTTTGCCTGAATAAAAACAAACAGGTGAGATGTTAGAAAGCTTTTATTTTTATTTTAGTAGACGCTCCAGGTTGCACCAGGAAGAGTACTGTACGTCACTTCCGTTTCTTCTCAGCAATGGCGTCCTCCACAGCCAGTGACGGCGTGAGTGAGGAGCAAACGGGGAAAAAATCGAAAAAGACTAAAAGCCAAGGTGAGTTTGATTGTTTCGCGTCAGGTGAGGTTAAGTGACGCCAGCGAGCCGCGTGAAGGACAGTACTGTTTCCCAGCTTTAGACGACGGCAGCGAGGCATGTGGAGCTCTGCTAGCATGGCGGCTCTCGCACTGTAAACAGATCGGTTTGGTGAGTGCGGTTACCCTCACTCGCTAAATGGTCGCATCAAGAAAAATAACCCGAACATTTACTTTTCACATACTTAAACTGACACGTGTTTCCTGACGCCGGGCAGCTAGCTATTACCTGCCGGGATTCAAACACGTTTCCAAAGTCTGCAGACGGAGCCGCCGCAGCCAGGGGAATTTAAACGTGTATTATTTTAGTCAGTGGACCGCTCTCCGCGCTCCTTCAGTATATCTCTTCAATATTCTGTCTCTAACTCTAGTCCCTTTGCTTAAGTATAGCTCGTGTTGGTAGTCTATGCCTCCGCTGTAGTAACGTGACTTCACGTGCGTCCTGCAGTGGATGAATCCGAACTCCTGACAGTTCCCGACGGATGGAAGGAGCCGCTGTTCACCAAAGAGGATAACCCCCGCGGTTTGCTGGAGGAGAGTAGCTTTGCCACCCTCTTCCCCAAGTACAGGGAGGCCTACTTGAAAGAGTGCTGGCCTCTGGTGGAGAAGGCTTTAGGAGAGGTGGTGAGTAATAATAATAATAATGATGGATTGGATTTATATAGCGCTTTTCAAGGCACCCAAAGCGCTTTACAATGCCACTATTCATTCACTCTCACATTCACACACTGCTGGAGGCAGCTACGGTTGTAGCCACAGCTGCCCTGGGGCAGACTGACAGAAGCGAGGCCAGAGGGGCCGATATCGCGCCATCGGCCCCTCTGGCCTCGCTTCTGTCACTTTACCTCTGGCCAAGGTAAAGTGTCTTGCCCAAGAACACAACGACCAGGACAGAGAGCCCGGGGATCGAACCGGCGACCTCCAGCCACGGTCGCCCCCAGTCAGAATAAGCTGCTTGCACTGAACACAGATGATAATACTTGTCTGTCAACTGTATCTCAATTATAATGTAGCTCTATGGAGGAAGTCGACCTTTTTTTTAACACTTTCTTTAGTCTAATCAGGTTGCATGCTATCTTGTATTAATGCATACATATAGTGGATATAAAGTCTGCACTCCCCTGTTAACAGATTTACAATGTAAAACAGGTTCCAGGATAAATTATTTCAGGGTTTTAAAATGTTATTGTGACCTATCACCTGTAAGTTCAAATGAAAAAACACTGAAATCTTGTAAGCGGAGGAATAGAAATGAGAAATTCAGCACTAGTGGTCCAAATGTGTTAGTTTTGTGTTCTTTTTAGCCAAATCGCTACAATAACACGCTGAGCACACAACCTCTCAGGAGCAGGCACCATGTTTCCTGTGAATCTGTTGTTTACACCATATTTTAAGTGCAGCACAAATTTTTGGTTCTACATTTTAACCATCTAATGTCAAAGAAAGCCTGCTGTTGTTGATATACCTTCGTTATATTGTCACCATATAGTCGTCCCCATAGTTATTCAGTTAAAATCATATCTAAGCTCTGGGCTTTTCCCAAACAATATCTTTCTATTGGAGGTGATGATTATTATTTTTTATTTGGAGATATGTTTTGGATGAGTGTATTGAAATGTGAAATTCCTCCCCACCTGCCTTCTGCCAGGTGCATGAGGGTGTTGTGCAAAAGCAGGCTGTTATTTTGGGCTGTTCATAGATTACTGCTTCGACTCTGGTTTGACTGGGATTCCCTTTTAATTTGTCTGTTCCTTCCCCATTCTCAGCACTGTAACACACCTTACCACACAGCCCAGGCATATGAAGAATACAGAGATAGTCATGACACATAGCACACAATCAATACTGGTGAAGTATATGGAGCTCCTTCTAGTATTTCTGCAGTGATCTTGGAAGCCTCCTGGATCAGGTTTCCATGCTTTTTTCCCATTAGTGTTTTGGTAATGTCACTGTTTTGCCATGGTTTCTTCCCCCTTTGATGGCTGTCTTCATTGTGTTCCAGGGAATGTTTAATGCCTTGGAAATTGTGGAATTTCTAGATTTCTTTGATGCTCTGTAAGCTCTTTGTATCTTTCAGCAAAGGCCACGGTCCACAGTGTCAGAAAGTCCTCCAGCTGAACTATATTTTAATTAATTTTGAACATTGCCACACCCTCAGTTATTATCACACATTATTCTGGTTTTATTTCTCTCCTCTGTAACATTTTCTTCCAGTTAAGTGTCACGTTGGCTCTTACATCGGCAGCTTTATGAGGCTGAATTGCAGACCTGAGCTGTTAACACACTGAATCATTTGTTGTTGTTCTCAGCACATTAAACCTTCTTTGGACCTGATAGAAGGCAGCATGACAGTCTGCACCACTAAGAAGACCTTTGACCCTTATGCCATCGTGAGAGCCAGAGATCTTATTAAGCTGCTGGCGAGGAGTGTGCCATTTGAACAGGTAACACTACTGTGCCAGTTTGCAGCATGCACAACATGCAGATTTCATCCTTTAATGTTTTGGAGTATGTGTGTGATCGCTGTCACTAAGCACTCAGATACTCAGCGATGTGTTGTTGCCTCCAGGCTGTAAGAATATTACAGGATGACATTGCCTGTGACATCATCAAAATCGGCACCATGGTGAGGAGTAGAGAGCGGTTTGTGAAGCGAAGGCAGCGGCTCATTGGCCCCAAAGGCTCCACCCTGAAGGTGAGTCTCACACCAGAGTCCAGCTTTCTGAGGTCTTTCTGTCTGAAGTTAATCACGGCTTCCACAGAGTGTTGTGATGGATGTTAGCAGAAAGTAAGAGAATCCAATTTGTTTCTAAATCATGAATTGTGCGTCTGTGTCACTGATTTTCACCGATCTGCAATGGAAACAAGTCTCAGTGTCGTGTACTTTTGAATCAATGTCAGTAGGTGGCAGCATTTATCAGCCCATGTGTCTTTGCAACTCGTTAACAGATGATTTCTTTTGAAGTTTGTCTGTGTGCTTCATGTTGATGTTTCTTCTCTGCAGGCACTGGAATTACTGACCAACTGCTATGTGATGGTGCAGGGGAACACGGTGTCTGCACTGGGACCCTACAGCGGACTAAAGGAGGCAAGACTGTCAATAATGGCTGACTAAACAGTAGAGCAGGGCAATATGACCAAAAATATTTATCACGATATACATTTGAAAATTTGTGATAACGATATAACTGACGATATAATTGACACTAGACAAAATACTTTACAACTCC